ACCAGCCTTGGCCTCCCAAAGTGCTGGGATTACAGGTGTGAGCCACCATGCCAGCCTTCAGTGCACTATTATTTATTACAGTCACCAATGTGTACAATAGGTCATTAAGTATTCCTCCTGTCTAGCAAAAACTTTGCATCCTTTGATCAATATCTCTACCCTTTCAGCATCTACTCCCCTCTCCCAGCCTCTGGTAAACACAAGTCTACTGTGTACTTCCACTAAGTTCTACTTTTTCAGATGTCCCATACAGTGCGATCATGTGGTAGTTGTCTTTCTATGACTGACTCATTTCACTTAGCATAATATCCTCCAGGTTCATCCATGTGTTACAAATGATAGAATTTTCTTCTTTTTTAAGGTTGAATAGTTTTCCATTGTGTAATACAACACATTTTCTTTATCCAGAGAATATTCATTTAATGAAAATAATGTTTTAAAGTCAAATTCTTGAAAGTATTATATTAAGAAAAAGAATACAGTAACACATCAGTGGCAAATACTTACAATTTGCTAACAGAGGTGTGGTAGAGACCTCGTTTCCTCTGTGTTTGTTGGTTAAAGTAGTTGACTGTTTGATGGGTGAGAAATGTTTTGTTGTAGAGGGAGTGTAGACATGCCTTACTTGAATTCCCGGAGAAGGAGATGTATGGATATTGCATTCAGCTAAGTAAAAAACAAATTTAAACACATTAAAAGCAATTCAATAAGAGTTCCATGTCAATGTCTACATTTAAAAAGAAATACGAGATATAATAGCTTCAATTAAACTATTTATCAAGTGATACTAAAGTTTTTTTTCATAAAAGTCCACACTTCCTTGTTTGCATAGTGGTGAGTTTTAAAAAGTCTATACTACCATAGTGAAAGTTCTAGAATAAAAATATATTATTCTTGAGTGATGTTTTTCTAAGAGAATAGTTTTATTATTCAGGGTATCAAGTAAATCTAGAGCATGGTGACAGACTTCACTGCATTAAAGCATAGAAAGTGAATACACATTAAATATTTAAGGAACAGGAATATTCAGGAATGAATATTAAGCTAATTCATTTCTAAAAGGAACAAGAATTTTTTTCCTATAATTTTAGTTTTATTTTTTGATTTTTTTTTATTTTTCAACTCAGGCTGGAGTGCAGTGGCACAATCTCAGCTCACTGCAACTAACACCTCTCAGGTTCAGGCAATTCTTGTGCCTTAGCCTCCCTCCCAGTAGCCGGGATTATAGGCGTGTGCCACCATGTCTGGCTAGTTTTTGTATTTTTAGTAGAGACAAGGTTTCACCATATTGGTCAGGCTGGTCTTGAACTCCTGACCTCAAGTGATCTGCTTGCCTTGGCTTCCTAAAGTGCTGGGATTACAGACATGAGCCACTGTGCCCGGCTTACGATTTTAAAAGGAGTAATAGGGAACTTCATTAGAGAATCTGTAAATAAACAAATATTAAACAAGAAGTGTTTTTAAAAAAATCAACATGCACTTCCTTTAAGTTCAATATTATATAATCTGAAATTATTTTAATTTTGGTTTCTGTGAGATTCCAAAATCATATTTAAAAATGACGTCTAAACTGTCTTCCCAAACCCAAAATCTCATGATTGGGGAAAAAAATCAAATACACAAAAACAAAGACAAATGCAGATATTTATACCATAACTTTCAACCTTTAAATAGGACAGATGCCACTTCCAGGTCAGAGTTAACCTGATCTTGAATATTTTTACTGTCTTCTTCATTTAAGGACTTCACAAATCGAGAACACACATTCATATCAAATCGGTTAGGCAATATGAATTTCATTCCCATGGCAACACCCTGAGCTGATCCTTCTTCTGAATTTGGGTCCAGTGGATGTTCTATTTTAATGTCTGGCATGCCAGTCAGGCTGTAAGTGCTGGGACACTCTTCCACTATAAGCTGGGCTCCAATATCCAGATTTGCTGATGTAGCCATGATTTCAATTGTGTAGATTCAATAATTAAAACATTTCTTCATGATTTCCTCTTGGTTTTATAAGGGCAGTGTCCAGTGTTGGATATGCAAACCGGAATTTGAATATTTAAAAATCTGAAAGAAAAAAATTAGAACAATGCTCTTGTAAGCATCTATACATAATAATAGAAAGCATATAATGTTCAGAGGTAGAGAAACCTGGGTATGAATCTAAGCTTTGCCATTAATTAGCTGTGTGACCTGTACAAGTTCCTCAATCCCTCTGAGCTTCAGTGTCATTTATAAAATAGGGATACCACCATTAACCTTACAGGGTTCTGGTAAAAACCAAATGAAATACTGTACAGTGACATTCTCACTTTCATCATTAAATTCCAACAAATTTTAGTTACTGTTTCTCCCATTTCCTATATCTGAATATTGCCAAATGGATAAAAGATCAGGCTAACAATGAAAATAAACTTTAACCTCTTACCTAGGGTTAGTTTTTTAATATGTTTACATAGGTAGCCCTTACTTGGAATTTAAGAAATGATATAATTCATGTTGTACCCAAGTTTATTGGCACTGTTATCTATAACATCTGTGGTTCCTAGACTGTGAAAAGCTTTACAAAGCTTTGGGTTTGATGAACTGAAGGTACATTTATCAATTTTTGTTCAGATTAAGCATTAGCAACTTAATGTAGGTTTTCATGAAAAATAAAGTAGGTAGATTGGCTTTCCAAGATGTGTAATTGTCTCAAATACATTACCATTTGGGACAGGAAGAAAATTAATAAAATACAGTTAATTTTTTCACGTTAGAGTTTATAGCCTCTTAGAAATTTTGAGAGGGTGCAGGGTGTTTTAAAATTGAAATTAATTGGAACTAAAAGAAAAATGCATCAGGATCACAGTGGAGCAAGGGTCGCCAAACCATACATTTACAGATAACAGCTTTTACAATTTTAAAAACATTTTCAAAAATTAATCCTTAACAATCATTTGAGTAGGCAGGTCAGGTAATCATATGTCCACCTTAGAGAGGAGAAACAGGAAGCTCATGAATTATGAGGGCTCACCCAGCTCTGTTGACTCCATCATTCTGACCGTTAAAATGAGGCAGCACTAAACAAAGCCAAAACCTCCACCAGAAAGAGCTGAATAAATAACACATAGTAACCTGTAATCCCAGCACTTTGGGAGGCCGAGGCGGGCGGATCATGAGGTCAAGAGATCGAAACTATTCTGGCCAACATAGTGAAACCCCGTCTCTACTAAAAAATACAAAGATTAGCTGGGCGTGGTGGCACGCGCCTGTAGTCCCAGCTATTCGGGAGGCTGAGGCAGGAGAATTGCTTGAACCCGGGAGGCGGAGGTAGCAGTGAGCCGAGATCCCGCCACTGCATTCCAGCCTGGTGCCTGGCGACAGAGCAAGACTTTGTCTCAAAAAAAAAAAAAAAAAAAAAAAAAAAGTAACAAAAACATTTGAGCCAAAAGAAGGAAACTAGAAAAGAAAATTCGTTCAGTGATTCAAATGGAGATGGATGTCCATGCGTCTTAAAATAACTGGACGATATGAACTGTGTTTTCTCAGGGAAGAACTATATCCCCCTTTCTCCTATCAAGGTTGGCTAAGTGCAACTCCCCTAAGCTCTCTGAGAACCTTGCATATAGCTCTATTTTAGCATTTACCATTCTCTTGAAAATGTCCATGTAAACACCATCTAAATTGAAAACTCCCCTAGGATGGGAACCATTCTTACTAATCTTTGCACACAAAACAGTACTTGGTCCTACCAGGTGCTCCATAAATGTTTTCTGATCTGAACTTTAACAATTTTTTTCCATAATATTTTCTATTTCTAACATTTGCTGATTAGACCTGGCTTTTCACTCTCAACATTGCTACTAACTAGCTGGAGAATCCTGCACAAATAAATCATACAAGTTTTTTGAAATTCATCTATTATAAAAAGGTGTTGAAATAGGCCTAATATTCTTTTCAGCGCTGAACAACTTCCACGTTACAAATCAGGGTTTACAGATGGAATTACAGGTCTTGGAGAGAACAGCAAACGTGCTTAGCGGGAGGGGGTGGGTGGAAAAAGAATGCTTATCTTGGCACACCAGTCTAGAAAGGAGAAGCAAATTTGATTGGTAAGCCAAAATTTTGAAGAACAGGAGAGGGAGGCGGGGGTGTGAGGGGTGTGGGGTAAACATGACTTAGAAGAGGTGGTGAGAAAAAGGGGGTAAGGCAATCAACAGCTAGGTTCACCTCGATCTGTCAGAGCCCAGGGATGAAGGGATAGAGAATTTAAGGAGATAAAGTGGGCAATTAATCTAGTTCCCGTGAATGCTAGTAACAGGAGCCCCTCGTTTTTTCCTGATCCTGGAATTATCCTACAAGGAGAGGAAGGTGCTATGAAAATAAATGATGCCTCACAGGCGACAGGTGTTCCAGTGTCCCGAGACAGGAGCCCGCTGGAGGGGAGACTGGTAGGAAAGGAAGTCCGTCCTGTCGCCAATGGCCAACCGTGCTCGAAAAGTCCCAGGAACAAACTCGCTCATCCGCGGCGAGCGGATCTCGGGGACAGGGGTTGGAGGCCGACCCGCTGAGAGTGCAGGGTCTTGCGACCACCGACGACCGCAGAAAACGAGTAGAGTCTTCCCATCTGCCGCCAGCTTCAGTACAGGCCTCCAAGCCTGGGCTTGTTTTGGCCGCGACGTCACTTCCGATTTCTTCTTTCGCCTTCTGGCTAAAAAACGTTCTGCATCGGTGCAGCTGAGACTTTCACGTTTTTTATTCCTTTGTCTGTCTGTCTGTCTCTCTCTCCCTCTCTCTTTTTTGATGCCGTTACATTCCGAGGCCCATGCTGCCGCAGTACTACACAGACAGGGTCATTTGAGTTGATGCTTCTGGGTTACCAGAGCAGAGGAAGCCCCAGTCTCGCCCTCTGGTCACGCCTTCTGCGCCTGATCGCCCTGCCCACCTGATCGCCTTTGCGCCGCCGGGCTGCTTGAGCCTCGGGAGCTCGCGCTCCTACGTCATCTTTACGCGACGTTCGGTTCGGTGTGTGTGTCGCCGGCTTCTCTAGGGTCCATGTGATTTTCACGCCAGTGCTGCTGAACGGTCCAGGAGAGGGAGCTGGCAGGGTCCGATTAATTGTCCTTGAGTCCAAGTGTCTCTTCGGGCCCTTTGGGGCTCAGTGGAGGTAGGTGAAGGCGGCTCCCATTGAGGAAAGCCCAGGCTCACACTTGGCACACTTGGCCTTCCTGTGTTACCTGGCATGCTCTTCTGGGGCTTCCCAGGCTCTGTAGGAGAATGGCTAAATTCTTTAACCGGTTCAAGTTCCCCTCAATTAAGCTTCGACTTAGAGTCTTCTCGGCGATTACACCCTCTCCTGTCCACCGTTGTTAGTTACCGGAGTAATCAGCAGCAACTCTCCAAGGCAATGGACATATTTCAGTCTGTCTTTGCTTACGAGGTTCCCTTAGGTGCAGTGAACGTAATGGAGTTTTAAAAGATTTGGGAGATAAAATCAGCATATCTTGTTAACTGTTTGGATGTTAGGAGTGGGGAAGACGGACACGTCAAGGCCGAATCTAGATTAATATCTGGTGCCAGTCACCAGCCAAAATGGAGTATATTGGAGTATGCGAGGGCACAGGCCATGTCTTTATTTCATTCACCATTGTATCTCCAATGTCTAGAACAGTGCCCTGCACATTGGCAGGTACTTTAACGAACAGAAGAATGTTCCCCCTTTAATCATTTGTCATTGTATTTCATTAAAGCACCTTTTAAATATATGTTACACTTATCGTGGTGTTACTGATGTAAAGTTTTCAGGTTTTTTGTAATAGATGATGAGTAGCAGCACTGGAATCATTTATCTGATAACATTGAATTTCTTTTGCAATTGAATCGTTCTGGAAAGATGTTTTGGCTTGATTGTATGTTATTTAAAAGTTTTATTATGCCACTTTAATGTTGAATTTAATTTCAGGATTGCTTTATTACAGTTTTCTTTCCTGCTGTTCAAATCTTTTAAAGTAAATTTAATTTTAAGCTTCTGCATTAGAATATTAGCTTTGTTTTTCTTACTTCTTGGCATTTTTAGGCTTTCAGGAAATCAAGTCCGTAACTGTAATTCTTACAGATTAAATGTCATCTTAAGCTTGGTTTCAGGAAACTTGTATTTGCAGTTTCACCTTAATAGTTCCTGTTGCCAGAAAATGGGCACTCAAAGCCAGCATAATCCTTTTTGGTTTGGCTACTGGAAGACTGTACTAGATTTATTCCCAAGTGTTGTAAAGTGGTTGGCTAGATGTGAGAACCTTTGTGTACAGCTAAATGGATGGTGCGTTATGATAACCCTTACTGTAATTATTCCTGCTTCCTATAGATTGCTTTTTCTGGGTTAGAATTAAATGGTTTATTGGTCTCTAATCTATAAACTTCCACACAGACTTTTGAAAGAAAGCAGAGTGAAAATCAACTATATGTACAAATTTATAAATAATATGTATATAAAATATTTTCTTTTTCAGACTTAAGGCAGTCATTGTAATTATTTCTAATATCAATTCTAAAATATTGACCCTTGGACAACAGTGCAATTTTTAAAAAATATTTCTTTAATTTTTTTTTTCAATCGACTTTCTCAGGTTGAATCATGATCTTTAATTTTTTTTACTATTTTCTTGCTTCAGTGAAGGAAGACAGCAGTCAATTATATGGAATTATGGCTGGGTATAAGCCTGTAGCTATTCAGACATATCCTCTGCTTGGTGAAAAAATTACCCAAGATACACTGTATTGGAACAACTATAAGGTGAGTATGGGAGATAATGAGGGAGGAGGGATTTGTGTTTATGCCAATTTCTCTAGCATATGTTATATTCTGCATGCTCTAACAGAATTATTAACTAAAAACAATCTATTCTCAGCTTTTAGTTTGGGCAGATAGTTTGATATCTATTTTTTCTTGGAATTTTATAAAAAAGTCCATATTGCTGAATCAGATTAACCATACAAATATCTAGCACAGAATAGATGATCAGTCAATGCCTAATGAATTAAATTTTAAAATTTGAATCTCATGTGTGTAAAGATGTTTATTGAAGTGTTGCTTTTAATAGTAGAAATCTGGAAAAACCTATGTTTATTAGTAGTGGACATAATTTACTATATAATTTGGCCTTATAATGGATGGTAAGTTTATTGCTCCTATGAAAAGTTAGCTAATATGTGTTACTAAGTGAAAAGAAGCAAGATGTGGAACAGTCTGCATAGTAGGATTATCTTTGTGTCATTTTAAAAGTATGTGGTTATTGTATGCTGGTATAGACATAGTAACTTTTTTTTTTTCTGGTGGAAATCACAGTAAACTCAATAGCTGAAGAGATAGAGTAGGGTGTGGCTTTCTAACCATATGTTTATTTCAGTGGCTACAAGGATAGTCTGGGTGATGATATGGACCTTTTTTGCTTTCTTTGTAATTTTATGTTAAATACAACCTAATAAATGTTACTAAGAACAAAAAGAAATGATCTGTAAGAAATTATGTAATGCTTAAATAGATCTAACCAGTGGTAACTCTGTTAACACTCTACTATTTTTTATTAAGACCCCTGTTCAGATTAAGGAATTTGGTGCAGTTTCAAAAGTAGACTTTTCTTCTCAGCCTCCGTATAATTATGCTGTCACAGCTTCCTCAAGAGTAAGTATCGTATTTCTTTATTTTTCTTTTGTATAGTTTATTACTGATCTTGAGCATCTGGTGAAATACTGTTTTTCATCTTGTAGATTCACATTTATGGCCGATACTCCCAAGAACCTATAAAAACCTTTTCTCGATTTAAAGACACAGCGTACTGTGCTACTTTTCGACAAGATGGTAGATTGCTTGTGGCTGGCAGTGAAGACGGTGGAGTTCAACTTTTTGATATAAGTGGAAGAGCTCCCCTCAGGCAGTTTGAAGGTCATACAAAGTAAGAGACAGTTGGTTTTGATGTGTTCTGGTTTTGTTTTATTTTGTTGTAAGCTCTGTTTTTTTCTCTCTTTGATGAAAAACATAGAGAGCAGTTTTATGTAGATTATTTGCCTATGTGTACTGTATTTCCTGATTGTTCCAAGAGCACCTAACTTGGGTTCTGTGGTCCAGTTTCATAGGGCTCATGTATTCCCTAGAATTGTATGTGATATTGTAGGAAATATATGTTTATCTAGGGAGCTGTTCTGTAGCTTTTGGTTAACTTTAGCGATATCTGTGGCACAGCTGAGGTTATGAATTACTCATCTAAAGACAACCTTACAGCTAGTAATGAGAGCTCTATAGGCCTGTACTGTCTTAGAGCATTTTATGTTGAAGTCAAGTTGGAAGGTAGATTTTCTTTTCTTCTTGGATTTGTACTGTTTTGCCACTTGATAAATTAAGTGGCCATCACAATTTTATATTATAACTTTGTTTTCAGGATTACCAGTGTCATTGCTGAAATTTGTTAAAATATAACAGAAATTTATGTAACATTCTATTTAGTGGCAAATCTTTTTTGAGTTTTTTAAAGAACTTTTTGAAATGTTAAAAGTTAAAGGGCCTTTGCTCTCGTATTTAGCAGCTAAGTGGAATTGTTAACATATTAGAATATATCATTTTAAGGCTATTCTTTAATATTCTTTTTAATTTCATAATGTAGGACTATTTACATTTCTTAATTGACCTGGGGTCAAACACTTTAACGTTTTCTCTTTCTCTCATGATTTCCCACTGTGAAGACTTCCTGAAATTGACCTGCTTTTTTCTTAATCTCAGAAATAGGAGCATTTTATGTTAGAAGGTACCAGAAAAATAATTTTCTTGTTTTTTCATATACTGATCTTCGATCTTTCAGAGCAGTTCATACAGTAGATTTTACAGCTGACAAATATCACGTGGTCTCTGGGGCTGATGATTATACAGTTAAATTATGGGATATTCCAAACTCCAAAGAAATTTTGACATTTAAAGAACATTCTGATTATGTGAGATGTGGATGTGCTAGCAAACTTAATCCGGATCTCTTTATAACAGGTTGGTGAACTCTATTCCCTCGTGAAGCAAATAATCTCATGGGGATGTATTTTAATCTTGCTATGGGGTTCTTTTGGGATGGAGGGGCTTAAAATTTCTTTTATAAAGGAATATGTTTCTGATGAATTCTCCAGTTTTTAAATACATTTTTACGTAGTATGTTTGTATTTATTTTGAGACAGGTTCTCACTCTGTTGCCCAGGCTGGAGTGCAGTGATGTGATGATCACTGCTCAGTGCATCTGCTACCTCCTGTGCTCAAGTCGTCATTTCACCTGAGCCTCCCAAGTAGCTGGGACTATAGATGCCCACTATATCCATCTACTTTTTGTATTTTTTGTAGAGACAGGGTTTTGCCACGTTGCCCAGGCTGGTTTCAAACTCCTGGGCTCAAGCGATCTGTCTGCCTCAGTTTCCTCCCAAAGGGCTGGGATTACAAGTGTGAGCCACCATACCTGGCTTCCCATTGCTTTTTATTTTCTTATTCTTCTTTTGGTGATTGTTCCTGTCTTCCAAATGTGTTGGAAAAATCAGGGTGTCTTGAAAACATATAGACTCTCAGAACTGTAATGGGGAATACACTGCTTCAAGCAGTCAAGAAACAGACAGTGCAGTTTAGCCTCTTTGGGTGCCTTTACAGAAATTTCCAGATGATTCAGTAGTGACAGTAGTCCAAAGAAAGGAATATTTTAGGATCAGAGCAAGTTAGATTGTACAGTATTGTGTAATGCTTCTTCAGATACAATCAGTGGTAGAGGGCTTGGAGGTCCTGTGTCTTCATGAATATACATATATGTCTTTTTAAAGCTCCATCTAAGATTTTTTGTCCTTTTAAAATTTATATCTGGATACATATGGTTTTTGTTGTTTTAAACAGTGAAACTAACAATAAAAACATTGACATTTTAGGATCATATGATCATACTGTGAAGATGTTTGATGCACGAACGAATAAGAGTGTTCTCTCTGTTGAGCATGGGCAGCCAGTGGAGAGTGTCCTGCTTTTCCCCTCTGGAGGTCTTCTGGTGTCAGCAGGTACTTCTTAAAAATAGCTTTCACCAGTATTGTTGGTTTGGAATCATATTTGTTTAAAATCAGTTGCTTTTTGTAATTTATCAGTGTGCATTTGATTTGCATATCAGTTTTTGCTCAAACAGTTAATCAATAGGACAGGCAAGCAGTTATCATTTATTGTGTACCTAATGTGAGCCAGGCACTGTGCTGTTATATACATATTAACTCTAGTGTACTGGATGATGCTACAAGGTAGTTAGCTTTTTCCCTGTTTTATCACTAACAAAATAAGTTTTAACTAATTTTTCATTGGCAAAGTGGTAAGTGGCAGATCTGAAATCACAGAACTTGAGAGCCTACGTTATGTATTTAGCCCTATGCCATCTTATTTAACCCCAGAAATCTAGCTTATACTCCTTTTACTCCTATCTGAGAGATCTGCAGCAGCTTTTGAAAATCAGTTATTTGAGATCTAGAAGGCTTGTCTCTTTTTCTGTGACTTTCTAGATTGCAATGTTCTTACCCAGCAAACAGCAGCTAGTACTAGAGAAAGGAGATAATGTGGCCTCAAAAGGGGCCTTAGTACATTTTTTCACAAGTTGGGACTGAGGTGTTTTGCACATACTGCATTTTCATAATTACAATGGAAGAAGTAAATTGGCTTTTTTCATTTGTAAATAAAGTAAAAATATGTTGACTTTAGAAGAATGTATAGGTAGAATGTGCAGCTGACAGCATATATTGCTGTGTATGTGTCCTTTTTTTCTCTTAATTCTAAAATCTGGCTAGAAATTACTCTGTTTTATATTCTTTTCCCCGGTACCTATCTGATTTAAAAATAAGTTGATGCTGGGTGTGGTGGCTCACACCTGTAATCTTAGCACTTTGGGAGGCTGAGACAGACAGAAAGCTTGAGCCCAGGAATTTGAGATCAGCCTGGGCAACACAGTGAGACTCCATCACTAATTAAAAAAAAAGTTAATAAATGTCAGATATGTCTATTTTTCTTGCTGTTATTCTGACAAATGGAAAAAATATCAAATTGAACAGGGAGAATAGAAAGCTTTATGCTAATCTCCACTGTGTCACTAGCTAATTGTGACCTCGGGCAATTTCTTAAGGTTTCTAGACCTTGAAAATGAGAGGGTTGGACTAGAGCAGTGGTTTCAGCTGTGATCCCTCTTGTGAGGTGCCACTTACTAGTGGAGGGGTGGGGACTGTGAGTTGGGTTCCAAATCCTGTTCCCCAGTCAAGATTTCAGTCTCCTCTCCCACCCCTTTTTCTGTTTTCCATGTTAGACTTTTGCGTGATGTTTTGCTGCAAATCTGCATTATTCACTTCCACTGCTATATAGAATTTCTTTTTTTTTTTTTTTTTTTTTTTTTTAAGAAAATTTTCGTTTTTTTTACCCAGGCTGGAGTGCAATGGCACGATCTCGGCTCACCGCAACCTCCGCCTCCTGGGTTCAGGCAATTCTCCTGCCTCAGCCTCCTGAGTAGCTGGGATTACAGGCACACACCACCATGCCCAGCTAATGTTTTATATTTTCAGTAGAGACGGGGTTTCACCATGTTGACCAGGATGGTCTCGATCTCTCGACCTCGTGATCCACCCGCCTCGGCCTCCCAAAGTGCTGGGATTACAGGCTTGAGCCACCACGCCCGGCCCAGAATTTCTTATAAAAAATAATTTTATTATAATTTTCTTAAAATGAACTCTTTCAGTTATGCATTTATTTTGCTGGAATTTCTGTATGCTTCACAAATATTAAATTATTAAACTGTCATAACAGTTCTGTGGGGTAGGAACTATTATTACCAATTACCCAGAAGTGTTGGAGCCTGGACTCTGGACGCCCTCACTCAGCTTCCATGCCTTGTGGAGTGTCAGTGAAGAATGCTTTTCAGATCTTTTAAATTTTGAATCTGTGGGCAGAATATCCAACTAATGATTATTTCTTTTTGTAGGAGGTCGTTACGTTAAGGTCTGGGACATGTTAAAAGGAGGACAATTGCTGGTATCTCTGAAAAATCATCACAAAACTGTGACATGTTTATGTCTAAGCAGCTCTGGACAGAGGTTGCTCTCTGGCTCACTGGATAGGTTGGCATTTTAATTTTTTTGTATATTAGTGTACAGGTGTTTACTGCTTGAGGAAATGAGTTATTTCAGCAATATTTGTGATAAGTATTGTGATAATGATTTCCAGGAGAAGAAAACCTGTTGAGTTGAAAATAGTTTTGACCTCTAATTTACATATAGCTACTTATTTTCTCCTTTGATATAATTTGTTTTAACTTATATACCTAAACAACATTATTGAACCATTTGAATAAGCTTTCAAATAATGTTATTCTAGAAACCATCTTATAAAACCATTATTCATATATTTTGAGGTTTTCTTTTTTTTTTTTTTTTTTTGAGACAGAGTCTTGTTCTGTCACCAAGGCTGGTGTGCAGCAGCACAATCTGGGCTTACTGCAACCTTCACCTCCCAGGTTCAAGTGATTCTCGTGACTCAGCCTCCTGAGTAGCTGGGATTACAGGTGTGCAGCATACCTGGCTAATTTTTGTATTTTTAGTAGAGATGGGGTTTTGCCATATTGCCCAGACTGGTCTCGGATTTCTGGCCTCGTGTGATCTGCTCACCTCCTCCTCCCAAAGTGCTGGGATTACAGGCATGAGCCACTGTGCCTGACCTAAAAAATTTTTTAAAAATTAGATAAATTATTATTATTATTTTTTGAGACACAGCCTTCCTCTGTTGCCCAGGCTGGAATGCAGTGGTGAGTTTTTAGCTCATTGCAACCTTTGCCTCCTGGGTTCAAGGGATTTTCCTGCCTCAGCTTCCTGAGTGGCTGGGATTACAGACATGTACCACCATGCCTGGCTGATTTTTGTATTTTTAGTAGAGATGGGATTTCGCCATGTTGGTCACGCTGGTCTCGAACTCCTGACCTCAGGTGATCCACCCACCTTGGCCTCCCAAACTGCTGGGATTACAGGTGTAAGCCACTGTGCCCAGCCTAAAATTTAGATAGCACATTTAATTTAGCCTAGTATCTAGTGTAAAAATAAAATATATATTATATATAAAATATAATTTCAACATGTAACGTATGTCAAAATTATTAAGATACTAGAAATAAATTAAGCATCTAAGCATGTGCACTATGATAAAATAATCATATTTTAGGTTGGGTGCAGTGGCTTACACCTGTAATCCCAGTGCTTTGGGAGGCTCAGGTGGGATGATCACTTGAGGCCAGAAGTTTGAGACCAGCCTGGATAATATAGTGAGACCTCCTCATCTCTACAGAAAATTTAAAAAATTAGCTAGGCACAGTGGTACACACCTTTAATCATAGCTACTAGGGAGGCTGAGGCAGGAGAGGCACTTGAGCACAGGAGTTTGAGGTTGCAGTGAGCTGTGATAGTACCACCGTACTCTAACCTGGGTGACAGAGTGATACCCTGTCTCTTAAAAAAAAAAAAAAAAAAGATAATATTTTATAAAAATTACTGTCTCAGTTTTTAAATTAAAATTAAGTAAACAATTTAGTTTCTCATTTTCACTAGCCATATTTTAAGTGGTCAGTAGCCACATGTGGCTAGAAATATGGCACAGTTCTAGAATTTACATGATCTATTATTATTATTATTTTGAGACAGGGTTTTCGCCCTGTTGTCCAGGCTGGAGGACAGTGGCATGATCTTGGCTGACTGCAACCTCTGCCTCCTGGCTTCAAGCGATCCTTTCACCTCAGCCTCCTGAGTATCTGGGACCACAGGCACGTGCTACCACACCTGGCTCATGTTTGTTTTTTTGTAGGTACGGGATTTCGTCATGTTGCCCAGGCTGGTCTCAAACTCCTGAGCTTAAGAGACCCACCCGCCTCGGCCTTCCGAAGTGCTGGGATTATAGGTGTGAGCCACTGTGCCTGGCTTACATTATCTATTCTTGATTATTTTATTTCCATATTTTCATTTTTTTTCTGCTATTATGAAAAACTTTGGTTTTTAGCATATATGTTAAAAAGTATACAGTCATCCTGTGGTGACTGAGGGGAATTGGTTGTGAATGCCCAAGTACCTTATTTAAAATGGCATAATATTTGGATATAACCTACACATATCCACTGTATACTTTAAATCGTCTCTAGCTTATTTGTAATACCTAATACAATGCAAATGCTATGTAAATAGTTGTTACATTGTATTTTAAAATTCTGTATTATTTTTATTAATTTATTTATGGATATTTTCAATCCATGGTTGATTGAACCTGCAGATGTGGAATCTGCCATAGGGAGGATTGACTGTACATATTTTAAAAGCTAGAAAATATTTTTAATACAAAGGAATTTTTTGTGTAAATAAATATTACATGGCAGGTTCTCTGAAATCATGTTACTAGGCAATTTGGGACTTGATTGTTAGGTATGTTCCTAAAAGCTAAGTGTAAATTGGCTCTATTTGTAGTGGTTTCAACCAAGAGTGATTTTCGTTCCTCAAGGAATGTTTGACAATATCTTGAGAAATTTTTGTTTTTTATCACAACTTAAGGTCATGGTGCTTGCCTTATAGGGGATAGAGGCCAGGAAGGCTGCGAAACATCCTACAATGCACAGAACAGTGCCTACAAAAAAGAATTCTATGCCCCAAAATGAGAGTCATTCTGAGGTTGAGAAACCCTGGTATTTGGCTTCATGTGTACTTTCTTTCTTTCTTTCTTTCTTTTTTTTTTTTTTTGAGAGGTAATCTCGCTCTGTTGCCCAGGCTGGAGTGCAGTAGTGCGATCTTGGCTCACTGCAACCTCCATCTCTCGGGTTCAAGCAATTCTCTGTCTCAGCCTCCCAAGTTGCTGGTGCAGGTGCCTGCCACCATCCCAGCTGATTTTTTTTGTATTTTTAGTAGAGATGGGGTTTCACCATCTTGGCCAGGCTGGTCTTGAACTCCTGACCTTGTGATCCACCTGCCTCAGCCTCCCAAAGTGCTGGGATTACAGGTATGAGTCACTGTGCCTAGCCTTTTCTTTTTTTTAAAAAATTTATTTTTTATTTTTGTAGAGATGGGATTTCATTATGTTGCCCAGGCTGGTCTTGAATTCTTGGGCTCAAGTGATCTGTCGACTATGGCCTGCCAGAGTGCTGAGATTACAGGTGCGAGCCATTACACTTGGCTTTGCGATATACTTTCATTGATACTTTCTCCTTTTTCTTTTTTCTTTTTTTTTTTTTTTTTGTGACAGCGTTTTGCCCTTGTTGCCCAGGCTGGAGTGCAATGGTGTGATCTCGGCTCACTGCAACCTCCGCCTCCTGGGTTCAAGCGATTTTCCTGCGTAGCTGGGATTACAGGCATGTGCCACCACATCTGGCTAATTTTGTATTTTTAGTAGAGATAGGGTTTCTCCATGTTTGTCAGGCTGGTCTTAAACTCCTGACCTCAGGTGATCTGCCCGCCTTGGCCTCCCAAAGTGCTGGGATTGTAGGTGGGAGCCACCACACCCAGCTGATAGTTTTTCTTTACTTCTAAGTTTGATCTTCAGATGACAATGGCTGATGGTCTATCCTTCTGGTTTTTTTTTTTTTTTTTTCCTTTTTTAATAAATTTTTGAGACAGTGTTGCTCTGTTGCCCAGGCTGGAGGGCAGTGGCAGGATTTCAGCTCATTGCAACCAGGTTCAAGCAATTCTCATGCCTCAGCCTCCTCTGTAGCTGGGATTACAGGCATGTGCCACCATACCTGGCTGGTTTTTGTTATTTTTGGTAGAGATGGGGGTTACATCATGTTAGCCAGGCTGGTCTCAAACTCCTGGCCTCAAGTGATCTGCCCACCTTGGCCTCCCAAAGTGCTGGGATTACAGGCCTGAGCCACTACACCCGGCACTTCTATTTCTAAGTGGCTAGTGAAAGTCTTCATACAGATGTTATAGTTAGGGCTGGTATACAGCTCATTTTTTAAGGGATTCAGTGATAAATTAGTTTGTAATTAACATTACTGATTTTCGTTTTTCTTCACTGTTGTATAGATTTTAAAGTTCATATTTTAAATTTTCAAAAAATAGAAATTTGCATTTTATATTCATTTTCAAGGTGATTTTTGACAAAGCTTTTCTTTTTTATTAGGAAGGTAAAAGTATACAGCACAACTTCCTACAAAGTAGTCCACAGTTTTGATTATGCAGCTTCAATTTTGAGTCTTGCCCTTGCAGTAAGTAGCTTTACCTGTGTTTAAGTCTGTCACTAACCTTGCCTGTTAAATGAAACTAAAATGGAATTTTGGGCTTTATTTTTGGATTTGAGTAACTCTTCTTGCCATGTTAGATATTTGAGTTAAGACAAATTGCTGGAATGTATGACTTGTTCTAATGACTGAGCATGAATTTAGATATAGGTCTCACCAGGTAACTTCAAACCAAGGACAGTGCTCTAGGCATTGTTAACACCAAATGCAGGACCTGGGAAGCTAATAAATCTCTCTTCAACTAATTTAACTCAAGAGTATTATAGTACACTAGAAAGGCAGATTAACTCTCTGAGCAGAAAAAAAGATGGGGGGAAAAGGGGACAACAAAATGAAATATCTCCTTTTCTTTATTACTGCTGTTTCTGAAATGTGTGCTGTCAAGTTTTATGAGAAGCCACATTTGGGCAGGAAGTTATTTTGACTATATTATATAGAAATCTGATTTGGGAGAGGAAAAGCTTATTAAAAAATATTTTTGGGGGGCAAGATTGTAAAAGTCATGCTACTGTATAATCCTTGATGCTGTTAACTATGTACAATTCTTCTTCTTATTTTTTTGAGATGGGGTCTTGCTCTGTTGCCCAGGCTGGAGTGCAGTGGCATGATCTTGGCTCACTGCAACCTCTGCCTCCTGGGTTCAAGTGATTCTCCTGCGTCAGCCTCCTAGGTAGCCAGAATTACAGAGGTGTGCCATCATGCCTGGTTAATTTTTGTATTTTTAGTAAAGATGGACTTTCACCATGTTGGTCAGGCTGGTCTCAAACTCCTGACCTCATGATCCGTTCACCTCAGCCTCCCAAAGTGCTAGAATTACAGACATGAGCCACTGTGCTCGACCAACTATGTATTATTACACAAACTTTGCCAGTGATATTTTACATGTGTAAGTTCTGTCAATATACTTGTATCCTAAGGAAAAAATGATTTTGCTTTAATGTCTTGCACCAATCATTGTTAGGCAGACTATGTGTATCTGAATGGAACTTGGTGAATATATGGACAAGCAGCAAACACAATATAAATGTGTTTTGAAGTAAAAGTACTATAAATTATGAGTTAAGACTAGACTAACTTATTTTTCTAATTGCTATTAGCATGAAGATGAGACAATAGTTGTAGGAATGACCAATGGCATACTGAGTGTTAAACATCGGAAATCTGAAGCAAAGAAGGAATCGCTTCCCAGAAGAAGAAGGCCTGCATATCGAACGTTTATTAAAGGAAAAAATTACACAAAACAACGGGTATTTGTGCAGTTCTCATATTTGTTTAAAACGTGAAATATGTTAGAGTAGCATCCCTGCACATTACTGGAAAGCATAGTTCCTGTGGCATTTAACTTTATTTTGCTTTTCTCTACGTCAGAATTATTTCTAGATTGCTAGATTGGGGACATTATTGAAGAGTAATGGGAAACAAGGACTACTTTAATACTCTGCATCATAGCATAATGTTATAATGCTTTACTGGATTCAAAATAACGTCTTCCACATACTACCTGATTTGATCTAAACCCCAAGAAGTAGTAGAGCCAGTCATGTCCCCATTTGTCACCTGAGAAGATTGAGATGCAAAGAATTTCTGATTAATTAAAGATTTCATTACTGGTATCCAGAGTTGTTTAGACTAGATCTCATTATCTCTGATTCTTGTTTTATTTCTCTTTCTACTGAATCCCACTGCCTGCCATATAAAGAGAATTGAAATGAGTAATTTTTACATAGAATTAAGGCAACAGTACATATTGTAAGTTAAAATTATAAGAGAGTAAGAACATGTTGATGTAGCAAATTACTCCACTTTTTTTTCTTTCTTGACTCTGATTAGCAGGATTCATTTTTATTTAATCTACATTGTGGGCATATTAATATTATTTGTGACGTAGTTCAGAGATGCCACTTCATTATGAAAAAGTTTGTATTAACTATATACAGATACTGATTTTTCTTCTCTGTAAATTTACTTTTCATTGCAGGATGACATTTTGATTAACAGGCCAACAAAGAAACACCTAGAATTGTATGACAGGGATCTGAAACATTTTCGAATCTCTAAGGCACTTGACAGAGTTCTTGAGGTGAGTGAGCGTTTTTTTTTTTTTGTTTTTGTTTTGGACAGAGTCTTGTTCTGTGTCCAGGCTAGAGTGCAGTGGCGCGATCTCGGCTCATGGCGACCTCCGCCTCCTGGTTTCAAGTGATTCTATGCCTCAGCCTTCCGAATACCTGGGATTACAGGCATGCACCACCACTCCCAGCTAATTTTTGTGTTTTTAGTAGAGACAAAGTTTCACTATGTTGGCCAGGATGGTCTTGATTTCCTGACTTTGTGATCCACCTGCCTCGGCCTCTCAAAGTACTGAGGTTAGAGGTGTGAGCCACCATGCCCGGCCGAGTGAGTGTTTTAAAAAATTATGTTATTATTTACCCTGCATTATTACCATGACTTGGAACTGTGAAGATAAACATCTATTCAAACTTGATAATTTAGTGCAAGACCATGATATTTATTTTGTGCTGTTTTGTCTGCTCTTTTTGACTGTGAAAATTTTTCTAGCCTACTTGTGCAATAAAGACACCTGAGATTACAGTGTCCATCATAAAGGAGTTAAATCGAAGAGGAGTCCTTGCAAATGCCCTTGCAGGTCGAGATGAAAAGGAAATCAGTCGTGTTCTTAATTTTTTGATAAGGTATGTTTTATGCCTGTGAAACACTTGTATTTTGCATCTGAAATCCTTTATCACCAAATGAAAGACATATTTAGTTTGATCCTTGTAGAGAACTGAAGAAACAAATCTAAGGATTTTTTTTTTTTAGGTTTACAGGTTTTACTAAATTGAATTTTTACTTCGTAGGAATCTTTCTCAGCCAAGATTTGCCCCTGTTTTAATCAATGCTGCTGAAATAATTATTGGTAAGTAGTTGTTAAAACTTGAAAATCCTAACATGCTTGCAAAAGTAGAGATGTCAAAGAATCAGATTGGGAAATCAAGTAGATCCAAATATCTCGCTTTTGTTAATTCTCAGTATGGATTTTCATGGAGAAAACAACAAGTCAGTGCAGTTTAAAATGTAAAATGTTTATAGTGGCGTGACTTTGAATTGATGGGACTAGGGTTATTACAAAAAAAAAATTCGTTTTCATAGACATCTGTAATGACCATGACAATTTTTCAAATGGGAAAATGAAAATAAGTCAGAACTTCCACCCTATGTTTTCTATAATTATTGTTTTTTTTTTTTTTTTGAGATGGAGTTTCGCTCTTGTTACCCAGGCTGGAGTGCAATGGCGCGATCTCGGCTCACCGCAACCTCCGCCTCCTGGGTTCAGGCAATTCTCCTGCCTCAGCCTCCTCAGTAGCTGGGATTACAGGCACGTGCCACCATGCCCAGCTAATTTTTTGTATTTTTAGTAGAGACAGGGTTTCACCATGTTGACCAGGATGGTCTCGATCTCTTGACCTCGTGATCCACCCGCCTCGGCCTCCCAAAGTGCTGAGATTACAGGCTTGAGCCACCGCGCCTGGCCTATAATTATTGTTTTTTGAAATAAATTTACTCAGAGGGATTGTTATACTTTCTATAAATCATTAATTATAACGTAAGTACTGATTTTTCTGTGTTTTTATGGTATTTTTATACTTTTAAGAATTTTGCTTTTCACTTAATGTATAGAAAGATATTGCTAGTTAATGTGTTTTCTTTCTCTCTTTTTAGATATATATCTGCCTGTGATTGGTCAGTCCCCTGTAGTTGATAAAAAGTTTTTGCTACTTCAAGGACTTGTAGAAAAAGAGATTGATTACCAAAGAGAATTGTTAGAAACCTTGGGGATGATGGATATGCTTTTTGCCACCATGAGAGGGAAGGAAGGCACTTCTGTGTTGGAACATACATCTGATGGTTTTCCAGAGAATAAGAAGATAGAATCATAGTGTCTGCTAAATAAGACATATAAGAACCCTGAAGTTGGAATAGATTTGCCTCTATTAAATGTTGGAAAGAGACTCTCTTTGATACATTAAAAAAACTATTTACAGAAGCAGTTCTGTGGAAGAGACTGGAATAATTGCGGTCAGAAAACAAGTACCTGTTTTAAGTAAGACATGGTTTTCCATGTGCTATTTTGAATTATTTTATAGCATCTTCACCTAGACGATCTCAATTGTCTTGGACATAGACTAGTTTGTGTGGGATGAGTTGATATTAATTTTAGTACAGGAGTATTCTGTATCAACATTTGGGTTGGTATTCAGATGGGAATTCAAATATGAATCCTCTCTGGAGAGGATCCAACTGGGAATCCTGCTAAAGGAACACGGTCTTGTATTACTTCTGGAAAACAACAGCAAAAACAAATGGCAACAACAAAAAGCCTCTTTCTTGATGCTAATCAGTGCCTTTGGGATTTCTAGGCCCTCGTGTAGCTTGCTTCCTCTCTCCTTGATGTCGACACTTGTCTTAGATCACATGCCCTGCCTCAGCTGGTAATGGGAGCGCAGCTGTTCCAAGTGTGGCAAGTAAGTGGTCAGCTCTGAAGAACTAATACTAGCTAGATTTGTATTCAGAGTGTGAGAGCAAGGTCTACAGATAGACCTGATTGGACTACTTTTTCTTCTCTTCATGCAGCCTTTCTAACAAGTTTTCACTGTGTTTCAGGTCAGGGAAATGATAGAATTTGTCATTTTTCTTATAATAAATAGCCTTTCAAACTATTCTTCATATGTTTTGAGCTTATCTTATAGCTACCTAATCCTCTGAAAACTGTTTTCTCTGATTTGTATTTAGATATTCCCCCCATTCTTCACAATCATATTGTGTTTTAGAACCCCAATCCAGAGCAGTTTGCTTTGAAAAGTAGTTGTTTTTGAAAGTTTAATGTAAATATTATTTTTTAGAATTTTTTTTTTTTGAAAGAGTCTCATTCTATTGCTGGAATGTAGTAGAGAAGTGCAGTGGCGCAGGCTTGGCTCACTGCAACCTCTGCCCTCGCAGGTTCAAGTGATTCTCCTGCCTCAGCCTCCTGAGTAGCTGGGATTGCAGGTGTGTGCCACCATGCCTGGCTAATTTTTGTACTTTTAGTAGAGACAGGGTTTCACCATACTGGCCAGGCTGGTCTCGAACTCCTGACCTCAAGTGATCCACCTGCCTAGTCCTTCCAAAGTGCTGGGATTAAAGGCATGAGCCACGGCACCCAGCCTGTAAATATTATTATTATTTTATAAAGACATTCTTACTTTCTTGGCTTTTTGATGTATCCATTCCGGATGGATAATTGTTGGCTAGTAACTCCTAGTACACTGATTTCGCAGTTGCTACCTCTCCTACCTTTCTCTAATTCTTACCCCAACTAAAGTAGTTAAAAATCAGTAAGAAAAATGTCTTGAGCTAGAAGAACCTGTAGAGGAAGATTTTGTAATGCGAATCTGCTTTCATAATTTTAGTTCTGTAAATTCAGGGTTTTTTTAAGTAGAAAAAATATTTAATATGTTCTAGTAAGATTATTAAGTAAAAATTAAACAAACATATTAATTTAATATTTAGGCTAACATTAACATTTAAATTAATATACTAAGTGAATATACTTAATATGTTCTAGTACAGGTATGCTCAGAAATAGGGCCAGTTTCCCTTTCATGAACTGATTTCAGCAATCATACAGCACAGTGGCCTGTAAGGAACCAGCAGTGTGCTTCTCTGCATAATTATGAATTTAGTCAAGATCAGAAGCTGTGTTTTGGGGTTAAGAAGGGTTAATTTATTTAAATAAAGTTTCTATTTAAAAACTTTTTAAAAACATTAATGCCATAAGTATTCTGATAATTTGCATAGTAGTAACATGACAAAGGTTTTCTCATACGTCATTTCATTTGATTCTCACCGCAGCCATCCAAGATTGATATTATTTTCATTTAACATTGAATTAACTAAAGTAGTTGATTCACTCTCCAAGTCCCTGAGTGTGAGCTCTTCATCCTAGCACTGTGAAGTAGTTTGCCTGCTGGGGCCTAAACTACTCATTCCCTTGACAAAACTTCAGAGTGCTGCAGTTCTCAAAATATGTAACAGATACACATTTTCAAAAAGGTTAGGAAGCAGTTCCCATAGCCATCAGTACTTAAATTCAGGAGTACTTTTTGTTGTGTTTGTTTTGTTTTGTTTTTAGAGACAAGGTCTCATTCTGTTGCACAGGCTGGAGTGTAGTGGTGCGATCATAGCTCACTGCTACTTTGGCCTCCTAGGTTGAAGCTATCCTCCCACCTTAGCCTCCTGAGAAGCTGAGACTACAGACATGAGCTACCATGCCTGGCTAATTTTTTATTTTGATTTTTTGAGAGAAGAGGTCTCACTATGTTGCCCAGGCTTCAGGCAATCTCCTGGTCTCAAGCGATCTTCCAACCTCAGCCTCCCAAATGACTGGGATGAAAGACATGAGCCATGCTCCCAGCAGGAATGGTTATTATATTCACTGAGACAAACTGTAGTATTTGCTCTTTGAAGTACTTAAATATAATTGGCATATTACAATATGTGACACTGGCCTTGAGATTCTAATTTAAAATGCTTAACAAGAGTTTTAGACTTGTGAATTTTAGTTGAAAGGTATTTTAAAATGTTACTAAGTCTGCAAAAGTACTGAAATGTTTCAGGGAACTTGGAAAGTCACTGTATGTTTCATGTATTATATTTATGAGAGTTAAGAACTTGGGAAGGTTTTACTAATGGGGTCAAGCATTTGCAGTGCTGCTTATAAGATATAAATACTATTAAGTTGTTTAAAGGAATTTGGATTGTAAATGGGACTGTTAAAACAAATTTAGTGTGTTCAACTTAAATGGATTCTATCTAAAATACCCTGGTGGCACCTTTACATTCTAAGAGGGTATTTCATTTTCTATGAACAAAATACCCTCTTAGACACTAAAAAGCCACATCCCTGTTCCCTCTGCTGTAGTTAACTAGACATGGTGGTACAACTGACTCAACCCTTCTCTAAGCAGGGATTTGTAATTGGGCTTTATAGTGAAATTTTTGATCTGGGAAAATGGGAGGCTGGGAATGCTAGGTCTGGGTCATCAGCGGAGAAAGTTGGTTTGTAGAGAGGAAGAAGAATGAAACCTAAGTACAAAGAAAATAAAGATTATCTTGCTTTAATAGATCAGACTAGAGGAGAGAGAAACCACCTTAGCTCCTGATGACCTCTATTGCCCTATTCTGGTTGTACCTCTTCCCCCTGGGGTCTGCGATGTTCTTTGGATTCTTTCTATCAGTTGTTTGCTGACTGTGGGTGGGTTTCTCTTATTTACAACCAAATGACTCTGAAAACGCTAATCCACTGGTCCTGATATTTATTGAGACCCATTAGAGGCCAGGGAATTAAGGTTATAGCAATGAACAAAATAGACAAAAATATCTCCCTCAATATTCTGACTGAGGGAGATAGTAAACAAGTACATGTGTAGTGGGGTCAGGTGGTGGTAAATGTGACAGAGACCAATCAGGCAGGGGAGGGAGATGGCAAACGTCGGGGTGATAGTAGGTGTGGTGCAGTTTTAAATAGAGTAGTTAGGGGAGACCTCACTGGGGTGACAGTTGAGCAAAGTTCTATAGGAAGTGAAGGATCCTCATTGCCATCTAGGGGCAGGGTGCAGAAGAAGCATGACTGGGGAGTTAGGAATGGCAAGGTGGCCCATTTAGCTGGCATGGAACAAGGGAGGGGAGAGTAGTAAGATAAAGAATGGGGTAGAAACTGGAGATGGTGCATTTTGACAGTTCTGTAGGGAGTTTTGCCATAAAAGGGAATAGCAAAATTGGGCAATGGCTGGAGGGATGTGGGGTCAAGAGTTTTTTTTTTTTTTTAATTAGGTATAATTGATATGCTATAAACTATGCATATCTAAAGTGTTCATTTGATATGTTTTGACATTTATACACCCTTGAAACCACAATTAAGTTAATGAACATGTTTAATACCCTCAAAAGTTTCCTCCCACCCTTGGTAATCCATCCCCTGGTCCCTTCCTCTCAGGCAACTACAGATCTACTTTCTGTCATTATAGATTAATGTTCGTTTTCTAGAACTTTATAAAATTGGTCTCCATTTATAAAATGGAATCAGAATTTAGGCTTGGGGGGGTCTGGCATCTTTCATAATTGTTTTGAGATTTATAATTTGAGATTTATAATTCATTTGAGATTTAAGTTGGGAACAATGACAGAATGAATGTTTGTCAATGGGGATAATCCTGTAGAGAAGGAAAAACATGATATAGGATCCAGGGGAGGTGGAGCGTTGGCTGGGAGGTGGTGATGGGGTCAAGTGCTGAAGTGGAAGATTTGGCTTAGATAGGAGAAGATAGGAGAATAATAATTTGGGCATGGTTCAGGAGGGAAGGCATATATGGGTACAGATGCAATTAGGTAGGCAGATGTGTTAGTGAGGGTTTGTGGAGGTTCACTTGGTATCTCTTCACTGGAAAAAACCCTAGCAGGTAACTAACTGAATTGAGGTTAGAGGAAGAGCAGGTGGAGGTGTTGGAAGTTTGACAGGAGAACAAGATATGAATTAATCCTAGAAAGATCAAGAACTCAAACTTTGGAGCCATCTGCATGGATTTGAATCTTGGCTTGACCACTCATTGGCTGCGTGATTTGGGGGAAGTTATTTTGCCATTTTGTATCTCATTTTCTCCATCTGTTAATCAGTCAAACAGAATCACACAGGATAGTTATGAGAATTGGGCTAATCCCCGTAAACATGCCTAGAATGTTTCTTCTAAAATTTTTTTTTAAAGAACTGTATTGAGAAGGGATAGCAGAACAAGGAATTCTGTCTGTAACTGACTGAACAATCAATTGAAATGACATTACCTCAGACCTGCCCCAAAATGTTTCTGTTGTCAGCTAGTATGATGGGGGGATGAATGGACTAGAAAATGAAGTAGTATTCCCAGCAGCACCAGAGGCCCACAAGTCTAAGGAACTGAATTAGTGTTCTAGATTTACACTGAGACCCATCAGCATGTTGGCATGTTTTTCCCCTACATTCGCTGTGAGGAGGCAAATGTGGAACAGGCTGAGATACGGATTTGACCAGCAATGGGGTTTTTGTAGGTGAATGCAACTTAACTGGGAAGGGACAAAGTTGGTATTAAAATTTATGCAAAGGCATGATTGTAATGATAGACCCTGGAAGCTAAGGTAGGTGAATATGGAAAGGAAGCCACAAGGGATTGAGGACAGTGAAAACAACTGGGTGAATGGATTGTTGGTCGGTGTGTGGTTGAAGAGTTGTGGTTTGCCTACTAGAGATAGCGAGCTAGAGGCATGAAAGATGTTGTTGAGAGAACTAAGCACTATGACAGCAGCAGTATTTGAGAGAGTGACAGCAAACCGGGAGCGAAAATGTTCAAAAAATGATAGGGAGTGATATGATGATGTGTGGTGACCAACAAAGTGAGGTTAGGGATATAGTCAGATGACATGAGATTCAGTGGTGAGGCTGTCTTGGAAAGGAAGATGAGAAAATGGTCTGGAAACAGCACTGAGGATTAACTACACAACCATTAGGAGTTATACAGGAGCTGTGAGAGCAACATCAGCAGCACTTGGGAGGGCTACAGAAGAAACAGTGTCCTCAGCAGAGAGCCAAGTCTCAAATCAAAGGCTTGGAGAGAATGGCCACATAAGAGATTGAGAGTTTGAGGGATGTTGCTGATGACGGAGACCCGGGGGCAGAGGCAAAGGGTTTTAGGAGCTGGAGAAGGATAGAAATGAGACCCAAAGAGAGGATGTATAGAGTCTAGAAGATAAGGCATGATCTAGGACTCCTGGCTTCTTGTGGCAATATAACTGGCATAAAGAGGGTTAGAGGACATCATGATAGCCCTGATCATCTTCAGGTAGATGCTTAGTGTGAGGGAGGGAGAGAAGTGAGCTTTCCCTAGGAGCTTGTAGAATTCTGGGCACCATTCTTCACACCTGCTGCACAGGTGTTGTGGAGGGTGGGAGAGGGGCAGTCATTTCTACAGAAATAGGAAAACAGGTTAAGTTCACTCCAGGTACACCAGTTTGTAAGTGAAAAAAAAAAAAAAAAAAAAAAAAAACAAGCCAGGATTTGGATTCACATAGTCTGTTTTTATAACCTGGACCATTAATCACTAGCTGAGACGGCCTCATCTTTATTCCACTCTCTCTCTTCTTCCCATATTCAAGTTTCCATCATAATCATCAGTTGCCACCTCCTAGACCTCTCATGTTGAAGACAGCCACCACCATGCCCTGGAAGCTCTCACCACTCTTAACTAGAAATGCTTAACTCACGTCCTCTCTAAATAGTACAGGCAGCTGCATATTGAGATTGAGATTCAAGAAGCTGCATATTGAGATTGAGGTTCAAGTCCTTTTGTTTCTCCATTCCCATTGCCATCTCTTTGTGGCCCCAATTCTTTTGGACTTCTGCAGCACCATGCCTTACAGCTCCTCCAGCTTAGTAGTCCTCCAGTCCATCCTCCGTATCATGGCTCGAGTGTTCTTCAGAGACATTTGATCTCATCACCTCCTGGAGACAGTGTATCACAGTGTCAGGTGGCATTAAAAGGACAGGGCAACCGAATGGAAGTGATGATGTGGGAGGTGACACACCCAAACCCTCCTTCCATCCTTCACGTTAGCCCAGACAGCTTCCATGTAGAAGGCTCTTTGGCTTGGGATACTGATGATGTTTTCCTCGGCTGGTAATTTGTCCTTTTTTTTTTGGAGATCTTGATTGTGATTCCGAGCCTGTTTCCACTTATTTTTTCTGTCAATGTTTGTTCCTCAACTGTTTTTGCTTCTGTTTCTACAGTTCAAACATCCAGCCTATCTCCACTCTGACCTGAGAACATAGAGGCAGTGACTCCCCCTAGGTCACTTAGCTTGGCACAGGGTTAAAGTCTTGAGCTATCCCTCCTAATGGTTTTCTGTTTTTTGCTTGTTTGTTGTTGTTATTTTTATTTATTTACTTATTTATTTTTGAGACGGTCTTGCTCTGCTGCTCAGGCTGGAGTGCAATGGCGCGATCTCGGCTCACTGCAACCTCCAACTCCTGGGTTCAAGTGATTCTCCTGCCTCAGCCTTGAATAGCAGGGATTATAGGTTGGCACCACTATACCTGGCAAATTTTTTTTTGTATTTTTAGTGGAGACCGGGTTTCACCATGTTGGGCGGGCTGGTTTCGAACTCCTGACGTTGTGATCTGCCCATATTAGCCTCCCAAAGTGCTGGGATTACAGGGGTGAGCCACCGCGTCCGGGCTGTTGTTATTTTTGAGACAGGGTCTTGCTCTGTTGCCCAGGCTGGAGTGCAGTGGTGCAATCATGGCTCATTGCGGTCTCAACCTCCCAGGCTGAAACGAATCTCCACCTCAGCCTTCTGAGTAGCTGGGACTATAGGCCCATGCCACCATGCCCAGCTAATTTTTTTTGGTAGAGGTGAGGTCTCATTTTATTGCCCATGCTGTTCTTGAACTCCTGGGCTTAACTGACCCTCTCACGTTGACCTCCCAAAATGCTAGGATTGCAGGTGTAAGCCACCATACCTGGCCCTACTAAGGGTTTTCTAGAGATCTTAAAATCAATTAAAATTAAGAATTTAGTTCCTTAGTCACATTTGCCACATTTTGAGATGGCTGAAAATAGCCACATGTGGCTAGTGGCTACCATATTGAACAGCACAGATATAGAACATTTCCATAATTGGAGGTTTCTACCAGGAAGACTTGGACCTTTGGAGAAGTGCAAACTCTTTCCGTCTGGAGACTGAGTCCACTTCCTTGATTTGGTCTGAATAACTCATCTGGCAGCTACTTTATCTGCCAATGCAGCCACTGGCTT